TGTACAACTCTGCCATCAGCTTGCTCTAAGTAAAGTAAAGGTAATTGTTTCCTGGGTAATTGGCTCAGAATTTTGTAGGTAAAAAGTGCTCTGTGAAATGCAGATATTGTGGGAACAATCCCATTTACTTCAGTATCTGCTAAGGGAAGTACATATTTGCACATTCATGCCATAGTAGGAAATAAATGCTGTGCTTGAAACATTCACTGAGGGAAATTATGTGTGTTCAGCTAATGTATTTTTTAGACCATAAAACTTTAATTACTACCCAGCAAGTTTAGAGATCCTTACAAAGTAAACCTGGAGGCCTGCAATAAAATGATAGCTGGTTTATAGAGCTGTGGTTTAGAGTCCTCTTAAACAAGTTCAGCCTCCTTAGTTTGCTTGCTTTAAGGCATATTCTTATCTAAATAACACCAATAAATACAGAAATGATTGAGAATTTGGAGAACAAAAGTTGGATTTTAAAATGAGCCTTAATATACTTAAATGGTGTGCATTCATGTTCTGAATGACTTCAGCTTCGTTGTGGAGACACATGCTACCTTGAGAGCTTAAATCACCATGTTTTTTAGATGACCTGTACTTAAAAATTAATAAACTCCCTATTATTAATTATTATTTGAATTATTGTTTAGGCTACAGACAAGCTTAGGCTTACAACTTCAGTCTTAAAGTGGTAACTTAACCAATTATCTGTCTTCTGCTATTAGTCTTTATACAGCAAGGATTATATGTGAGAGGCTAATTGCTTAGATTTAGTGTTGATTTGTAAGCAGCTTGGACCAGCTGTAATTGCTGTTGCAAAGTTGTGTGGTTGCCTGGGACCCCGGGGGTTGGAACTGGAAGAATCCATGCCCAGTGCTGCTGTTTTGGCTGCCCTGCATGCTGAGGTAGCAGTGTGGCCACTCTTAATGCAGAGATCAGTCTCGCTTCTTCCTTTATGAATATCCTTGTTTCATTAGTGCAGCTTCATAAACCAGTGAGGGTCCATTGACAAGCCTGTTTGCCTACTTTAGCAATATAAATGAATTTAAAACTCACTTCCACTCACTTCTCTGTTAGAGTTTGCCATTATATTTGTGTTATATGTAAAGTCTTGGACATCCTGTTTTACTTGATTCTGTAAACTCTTCATCATTTGTCTCCTGTAAAGAGTTTTTAGATGACTGAAAAATTCCCAGGCGTGTAGCTATTTAAAAGTATAATGAAGAACTCAAGATATTCTTTCAACTGTAAGGAGATAATTTCAATTCATGCTATAACAAAGGAAAATATGCAGAAGAATGAAGTTGTGTATAAGATCACAAAGCTTTATAATATCTTTATCATAATAGTTCATTTATTTCATGCCGTGCTCATGGGAGGAAGATGATGTTGGTTTTGTGCATTTCTTGATTTGCTTGCCTCCTTATAAACCATAACTTCTTGCCATTTGCAGCCTTTTCCAAACCTGGGAATGTCTCTAATAGTTTTGCATAGCTTCATGCTACTTTTTCACACTTTTTAACCATAATAACTGACAAAGTTAAAACATTCATTTGCATTTTAATGTTGAAGTATTCTCTGTAATTGTAAGTGGAATGTATTGGATGTAGCTCTAAATGAAAATTTTGATTTTTTTTTTTTAGGAGGGGGAAACAGCAAAATCAGCTATTGCTCAGTTGTTTTCTGCTTCTGAGGGTACCTGATCAAGTGCATTTTTTTAACAGTAAAGTTCCTAAGTGCCCAGAAGTGCCCCAGTCTGAGCAATTTATCTCCTGCTTAAGACCCGTAGTTCTGTTTCATCTTTTTTTTTTTGTTTCATCCCTAGAAGGAGCAAATCTTGTAAATGCTGATGGCAATCTGGAAAACACTATGACAGTCCTCATAGTGAGACTTTCTACAAAATACAGCTATGACAGTTTCCTGGCAAAACATCACAGGGGGATGTGTGCTTTTTATATGTATGGAAAGAACTCCCACTGAAGAAAAAATTGTAGGTGTAGCCTCATCTTCAGTCTCTGTTCAATTGACACTGCACCTTTCAGAGCCACTGAACCAGTGCAAGGATCCAAGCCAGGATAAGGTTCAGGTACTACACCAAAAGGCTGTCAAGGGTAACAATATGGGAGCATTAATTACTTTTTACCTTTTTCTGCATATGAAGTAGCTCCGTCCTCCCTCACTGAGAGACTCAGCACTTTGAATTATCTCATAGTGCACAAGGTTAAATCTGTGGTATGCACACAGGAAGCTGCTACAGTGCTGCTGACGTGCTGCAACTGGGATTTCTGTGTCATATCCCTTCACTGGGGTAGAGTGATGCATAGATTGCAGCAGCCATGGGGGAAACTGTACATCCCACGTGTTGGCAGTAGAATTTTCCTTGCTGCAGGTTTTTTCTTCCACTCCTGTGGAAGCTGTATTACTATGCAAAAAGAAGGGAGTTGAGGATACGAGAGAAGGTGAACCTGACTCATGGTGGGAGCACTGTACTGGAAGTGAAGATGAGGTTTTAGGTTTTTTTTTTTAAAAAGTTAGGGATCCAGGATTTCTGATTCCTGAATGCTGTATCAGCTCAGTGTCATTGCTTCAGCCCTGGCAGCTGTGCTTTGCCACAGAGAAGAGCTGGCTTCTGCCTGGCCAGTTGCTGCCTGGCTGGACTTTCCACCAGGAAAACTGTTGGGCTCTGGATCCAGGGCTGATAGTGATTGCTGCTTCATAGCATTTGGGAAGGACCTCAATTCCTAGTGCATCTTCATTTAATGCTTCTTACAGCCAGAGACTGTTGGGTGTTTAAATTGTTTTTAATCCAAGTCTGAAGTGCCCAGTTCCCCTCTCAGCACTGCAATGAGTCTGTTCAGACAACACAGGATTTGGAGCCCACTGCAAGCTGAACTTGGCTCGGCTTAGCTTAATCTCATAGCTGAGGTTTCTTTAATCTAATGCTTGGAATTAAAATATTTTTCCTTTGTGCACAATGTTTTCCACATCATTTTGTATGAGCTTCTGCATAATTAACATCTAGCAATCTAAGAAGGGACGAACCAGGATGCATCTAGTCATGTGCACCAGAGCACATGCATTCTTCAGATTGTCTGCGTACCAAGAATTCTGCATTTCCTCTGGAAGGGATTTCTTAATCCTCAGTTTTAAGCTATTTAAGAACTTCTTTCTGTTGCAAACATAATGCTAGTCTCTAGGGCTATATAGAAGTCTTATAAGTTCATAAATGTTGGAGTTGTATATAGCACTAGTGTGTTTAGTTACCTCGTAGATGTCTGGCCTTACACTGATTTAAATAAAAGTGTTGAGTCATAGTGGAAAATGAAAATATTACTCATGTGATGTCTGTTCGCTCACTCCCAGGTCTGTATCATATTCAATGATTTTGGAAAAATGCAGAATGTTTGCAATCTACTCATTGAAAAGTTAGGAACCTCTGTTACCATCAGTCCACCTCATTTCTACCATACACCAGAAGCCATAGACACACTTCGGTAAGTTCTCTCACATGCCAAAAGTCTTACAGCCTCAGTTAATATGAATACATAATTTATGCTGTTTGCAGTGGGAGCAAGTAGTTTCCTTCACACCTATTAATATTTATGTTAGAGATTTCAGTATTTGATATAACTTATAAGTTAATGTTGTTCAGCCTGGAAGATAGAATTTGTTCTTGTCCCTGCGCAAAAGCAGAATGTAATAAAAGTTATTTTCCCACTGATTTCCACTGGAGTATAATCTGTTGTGAATCTTAGGTCAACAGAATTTGTCTCTGATTACATCATCGTGTGTACATTTCATTTGTATTTATTCATGAGGGTACAAGTGTGTTACCAGGTGTTGATAATTTTAAGTACCTTTGCCAATTCCCATTACTGTTAGCTGACATGATCTGGAAAGAACATGTGTGGCACTTCTCAGCATCAAAATATGCTGCCCTGAAGCTCACAATTTTGATCTGTTTTAAGCATTGACTATTCACAGTCCAGGCTTCTCTCACTAAGTGGGAGGGACAGAAGGAAGTTTAGTCTTGGTTGGGGTTTTGCCTTTTGTAAGAAAAGAACTGCCTGGTCCAAGCAGCAAGCTTAATTAGCTGCTGTTAAAGATTCCAGAGATGCCAAAAGTGAATGTCAGAGGTATCTACAGGAGATGAGGAAATATGGCCAGTGACTTTAAGCAGGTGCTAATATACCTTGCAGCTGAGCCACTGAAATGCCTGGAGCAAGGGTTGAACTCTTGCTTGACTCAGCGTGGATGCCTGCAGCATGCAGGTGTTAGAAATGCTTGATCTCATCAGAATTAGTGAGGATGCTGACATTTCCTCCACACATTGTCCCCTCAATACCCAAGCTGTGGCTCAGAAGCTGGGGGAAGGCGATGTGCCTTAGCATCTCTGCAGTTACGAAACCTGCGACGCTAAAAACAAAAAGCTTGGCAGGAGCACTGGTACATCAGTTGAACCTGCTTGTTATTGTGCTGCTGCTTCCACCTCTCAGCCGCCAAGTGTGTGTCACTGCCGTGGGGAACACGCGCCGGAAGGCCCAGGAAGTCTGTCAGCTGTTTGGCCAGGCACTGGGAAAGCCTTTATTGATAAAAGAAGAGGAAACAAAAGAATGGGGAGGCCACATAGACAGTCACCTGTCACTCTCTGCTGATTCACAGACTCTGCAAGAAAGAATCCAGAATGCTACTGCTTATGCATCTTGTAGAGTGTTTGCTGTGTTTGAGATAAAGGGAAAAGAAAACAGGAGAAGCAAATTGCCCTAGAAACCTTCAAATCCTACACATCTTAATAAAATTTTTATGCTTTCTTGTGATTTTTTATGGTTTTTTACTTCATTCTTGTGGTAAGTCTGTCCCCTAAAATTAAGGTTACAGTTAATTCTGAAACTACAGTTCACAGCTGCTTATTTTTTTTCCTGGCCCCAGTATAACAGCAAGATATTTGATGTGCCAAACGTTGGGCACACCTGGCTGAAACTGTGCCATATCTGAAACTGTGTTTACCTTTCCTCCCAAAACTGGAAGGAAATTAATCCCCATTGCTGAGTCGTGACAAACTGAACAGGCATTGTGTTCGCTTCTGACAAAAGTGTGTGTCCAACATAAAACCTGCTTAGGAAAGTTTTATTTCATCATAGGAAGAAATACACATTTTATCCTGGTGTCTGTTTGCTCAGTTTTGAAAAGGACATCTGTTATCTGGATGTACGTTGCATGTACAGACACTGAAGTACTCAGTCATGAGGGTAGAGTTTTTTCAACCATGGCTGCATAATGTACTTTGATCCATCATATCCACTGAAGTAGGTTTCCATATCAGGGTGATACACCTGAGAAAAAAATATTTCAAGTTAAAGAAGCATTAGAATTGGAAATAAATATAAACTGATACTTAAATGAAGTATTGAAGTTACTACATTGTTTGAAAACTCCTGATGAGTTTTTAATGTACATAGAGGTACTTTCAATGGCATTTTCTGTGTACCATAACTGAATTTCTGTCATCAGAATAGCAACTCTCTCCAAGTACTTCACAAATGTTGAACAGATCTCATGAGATGTTACAAGCTAGATTTACACCAGCATCAGTTTTTAAAATCAGCACTGTTTCTTACTGAAGTAGTTCCCACTTGTGTTGCTCTAACTTGTGAACCTCTAACACTTGTTAGAGGTATTTGGTATTTCTTTTAGCTGGATCAGTTATCTAATCCAATGAGGCAGCAAGAACAGTAAAGAAGCGATGGGGGAGATGGTGAAGACAGACCCAGGTGATGACCTTAGGTCCAATATGAAGATGCAAAACCACCAAGGACAATCCAAGCCTTGTCTTGATGCAGGAAGCCTGCAGTGAGTGGCTCAGAACTGTCAGCTGGGAAAGGGTCATGACAAGTCTAAGCATTTTCTGATCTTTCAACTCTTCAAGAAATTACTGTGCCTATTAGGCTGTACAAAAGGCTGGGTGAGGGCAATCCACAGACCTTTTGAACTTGAGACATGACTCACCATCTATTAATAATTTCAGCTAGACAACTTTGAAATACCTGGTTTTGTGAGCTTGTTACCAATAGTTTCTCCAATAATCTTCATGGAGAATTAACCTGTCACGTGGGCGAATAAAGCAATTTGATACCTTAAAAGCTAATTCCACAAGGTAAATATGAAGTATCTGTTTCTCCTCATGGAATACAAAGGAAACTGAAGGTAGCCAGCTAACTGGCATAGTGGAAGGTGCATTTTTTAGACAGTGTGGGCAGAATCCAGTTTTAAATATTTATGATACTCATCTGGAACAGCATAGTTTCTGCTCCTAAATTCGTGCATGTTGGCATATTCTATATTACAATTGATGGCTAAACCAGAATGGACTGAACTAAGGCTTCTCCCAAGTAAAAGAGGTGATTGTCACACTGTGCTTGAGAGGAGTCCTTTATGTGCAGCAGCACAGTTTTGAGAGAGAGCATGGAGAGTCTTCAGGCTAGTCTGACTTACACAATTCCTCTGGAGGGTTTTCCCAAAAGGCAGAGGAATGTGCCAATTTTAATCTGCTCTGTTTGACTAGACCAAGTGTCTCCTGTTAGGTGAATGGTTCATCTACTTGCTGTTTTTTAAAATACAGACCCTGCCACTGTCCAAAGAGAAGGCATCCACAACAGATAAGGCTTCCCTTGCAAAAAGCCACCTGTATGTGGCATGCATGCCTGAAGGCTGTTTTCTGGCTCAGAGTCTCAGACTAGTCTAAAACTCAGGTGTGCCTTGCATAAGCCAGGAATCAAAAGCTATTTCAACCCTGATACACAAAACAGAATTTTGGCTCCCGAAGAATTTTCTAGTTAAGAGAGGAGACATTCTTCAGTCTGGGCAGCAGCTGTTTGAAATGGAGATTTTTCAGAGTAGAATTGAGAAACTAACATACTTTACTAGATGCCCAGAAATCACAACAGCCAAATATAATGGAAATCAAGTTGTTAAAACACTTACAAACCTCAGCACTTGGATACTTTAAAGTGGGTACTACCTGAGTTTGGTCATTTTTCGGCTTCAAAAACCCATGCTTGAAAGTACAGCAGTAATTTGTTTATCTGCCTTCTCTATTAGTTTTCACTAATTTTGCATCCTAGCTGGTATCTATTAAGCCAAAGGTCAGCCAACTTTTAAACATACAGGGTAACAATCAAGTTGCAACTGAATAAATACTACCTCTAATCCCATAATAACTGTTATCTCTTCCTCAGAAACATAAGCGGTAGATTTGCCAAATCCATTTGCTTTGTTAATTAGAATTCGATAGTGAGGAGTGTCTTTTAGATCCTGTAAAAATAGAAAGAAAATAAATAGCCTCAAAGAGAGATGATGACTAAAGATTACATATTATAATCAGTTAACTTTCAGTGGGCTTACAGAACCTAAATCCCCTTGAGATACATGTGTGTATATATGTGTGTGTGTGTATACAGCCAGTTCATTTTTATGATTTTACCAGTGTCAGAATTAAATATAAAGCAATCAGAACTGCAACACACGAAGTTCTTGGGATATCTGAAACATTTTTTAAGTTTAATTAACCTTTTTTTTGCACAGACCAGATTTACACTATCCTTGCTTTTTGTACATAGGCCCAATGGCGATCTGCTACCACCCTTTTTCCTTCACAAGTGACAACTAAACTCCAAGAGAGGAAGAGACAAGTTTAGAACATAGTGCCACCTCCAACAACCATGGTCCCTGGAAAGAGCTAAGGCTACTTCTATATGTATATATACCTGAATCTTCCAACAAAGAAGTGCCTGTGAAAACAAATCCTGGACCAGGGAATATGGGCCATGCTATTCGCTGCTATCCATAAACATTCCTGCCCTAAGTAACCCACAATCTAAACACATAAAAGTGATGGATGAATACAGATGGAGTTTATGAAGCAATCAGTATTGATCAATGAACAGGCAGTGGCCTCTGCTCAGTGATTTCATAAAGATCTGGAAGTCAGAGGAAGGCAAGGAAAACCTGGCTGATGTTTTGAGGGATTTACAAGGACCAAGCTCAGTAGGCTGCAGCCTAAATGTCAGAAGGCATTTTGCAAAGTGCTTATGACATGAGAGGCAAAGGCAATTAAACCTCAAAACCAGCAAAAGACGCTTAAACCCCTTGTCATCGCTCTTGAAATTAAAACAATAAAGATGAACACAAGGCTGGGACAGCAGAACAATGTAAGGGACATAAAAAGAATCAATGCCTGCTAAGAAATTCTTGGGGGTTCAGCTGGTGATAACACTACAGAGGGGAGAAAAGAAAGCAAGGATGCAGGTGTTTTGGAGGCCAAAGATGAGGGACAGTTGGATAAAACTACATCAGGGAAGGAAGCAAAAGCACAAAATGGGACTGAATGTCAGTTCCCAGCTGAACATGAATGTTCTGCTATAGGCAAAGATTTTCATGTTTTCTTCATTTTCAGTTCTCTGACTTAATAATTAGTGTCTTCCTGCCACTTAAGCAGCATGTCAGTGGCATATAGAGTGTGCAGCACTGCATTACCAGATTAGCACTGTCAGCAAAGATTTAGCATTTGATTTTCAAATACAAGGACTTAAGCAAGAGAAATTCAAAGGCTTTAAGAATTCTAACAAAAATGTGTTTTTAAATAGATTTACACTCCAAGTAACCAGATCCTCAAAAACATTGCTTTTTCACTGAAACTGATTAAACACAGAGGATTACTTGCATTTCTTAAGTGCAGTGAAAATGCCACCAATTATGGATAACCAGATAAAGGACTTAACAGCTTCTCAATTTTAGTGACATGGCAGGAGAAATCTATTCAGACATCATAGGTTGACACTGGTAGTTCAAATACAACACTGTGTATAAAAAGTGAGTAGTTTTAATTTGAGATATGTCCACTACAGCCCTGACCAGTGAAGCTTAGCCACTCAGTGGTGTAAAAGCCAAGCTATACTGGAACCACAGTGCAGAAGCAGCAAAGGTACCACTCAGCTGCACAGGTGATGCAGAACTCTGGAGCATTTCCCACTAGGATGGCAGGAAGTTGGTCTGTAACAGTGTTTCTGAGGGTATTTTAACCTGAGTTTATTCTGTGTATATATTAATAAAGCAAGAGTTTAGTACATTCAGACCTGTTTCACTGGAGGATATCTGGGTTGTAGTTGTTCTTCTGGAGTGTTAGCTGTTACATCCCATCCGACAATGACTCCTGAGTAGCCAAATCTTCTGTGAATTATTACCTGGCCCACACAGAACTTAATATATTCAGGCTTTGGACTGTGAACATAAGCTGATTCTAATTTAACAAAGAAAGAGACTTAGCAAGGATAAAAGTTTGATCAGTTATATTAAACATTTTAACAGAAATTATTCTGACTTCTACCTGAAGAGAACTGATAATTAGATTTATAGGGGAATTAAAGAAGAACGAGTGCTTTTTTCCCCCCCCAGAATATTAATTACTATATTTTATGAAGGAACATCCACTAAGAAACTTTTCTATTTGTATGCATTTGATATTACATAGGGATCTTAACAGAGTTTTAGAAAGCATTAATACGTGTATGCATTGACAATTACTTAAGCCTTACATACAATATTTTACAGTGCTTACATGTGGTAACTTATTGTAACATTTTTTGCCAGTTTAGGTCACAGAATTCTTCTATTCAGTCTGATTAGGGACTTTTTTCCAGGAATAAAGTGGTCAACTATTTCTTTTTCCTTCTATGAAATTGATCTAAATCAGTTCATTTGAATCAAGTGAAAGCTGCACCACTGTTTCATAGGTCAATACAAAATACATACACTGATGTATTCAGTAAAATACATACATATAGTTACATCATATTGATACTATTACACAACACAGGGAAGAGGCCTTGGGTTTTATGCTTACTGTTTTGTTTACTGAATATTATCAATCATGTTTAGAAAGATGAAAAAAGGAAAAAAGTCTGCCATTTACAAACTAAGTAAAGAAATCCACTATAGAAGCCTTATAGACAGCATCATAAGTAAAATATGAAAGGATTGCAGAAACTTCAATACCTGCAAGATAAGAATGGAGTTTTGCTTCATTGGCACCGCTTTTAGTTTTGTTCTCTCCATAGTACCAATTCCTAAAATGTAAAATTAATAACTCAACATACAAACAAGTTCTTTAGAAGCTGAGTTTTAATAATAATCAGAAGGTTAATTATCCTAAGTGGGATACTGCAAAGCCTTTGATACAAACTTCCCTACAATTTGAAGCCTGCATGAGTTTTACATAAAAACACTTCTAAGGAATACACAAGAAAAAGAAATTTGTTCCAACAGAAAAAAAAAAAAAGTATGATCTAATTTCTTTGAATATCTTACTCTACAGTTGCATTAGAATTTTTATATCAGAGGAAATCCACTAATTTTATAGATGTGAACAAACACTGCTCTGCACTCTTCTTACAGTGTGATTCTTCAAAAGACTTCTTTTGTAAAGTCTTTTAAAATTGGTTTTTACTGGTACGGACAAGGTGTCTGGTGATGAGTCCCTGCCTAAGGCTGCAGTAGGTGTAGCTTTTCCTTCTGCACTAGACTGAATTTCATCTGAATGTAAAAGGTGGGCAGTAGGAGACAGACATGTTTAGAAAGGGGAAATGGCTAACATTTTTCATTGCTGTAGTGAAAAAGTGTAAAAAAAACTATGAGAATATGGAACATTTCCTTGTGCTGGCAGTGTAACAGCAGCAGTCTACAAACAGAGGAGTTTGGGTAACATCCTGCATCCATACTAGCCAGCAAACCATTGGTGCCAAAGAACTACAGGTTGTCCTAGTCTCCTTCCTCTTTGATGGTGCCTTTCAGCACCATCACTTCACTACTCCCTTCACTCTGCCTGCAGGAAAATGAGAGCAGGTTCCTGTGCAAACATTGTTTTTTACATAAGTTTTGGTTTAGCTCAAATGTGTAGAAAGACTTAAGGACGACAAGTACCTCTTAACAGAAAAAGGAATGGGCAATGTTAAAACAGCAGCTAATATAGAAGGTCTCAAATGACATTATTTTTAGGATAACCAGTTCTTTATAAAATATTCAGAAGACACAGACACTATACTATATACAAACTATATACAAATAATCCAACTTAATCCAACTATATACAGATAATCAATGGATCATTTCATCTTTGCAGGCTTTATCTTTAGATATGCATGGAGTTTCCACAAAGTTGAGAAGCAATTTATGGTGAACCTTAGAAGAGCACAGTTTCTGATTCCATTCATAGACCATTCCCTAGGTTTTGCTGGGAGCAAAACTAAGTCGGGATCCTCCACAGTTCAGAGGACTTGACACCATTGATTATTGTACATGGATCTAGAATAAAGGACCTTTAAAGGTCCATACAAAGTAAAACCTTTGGAGTATTTCTACTGTACATGAATTAAATCTCACAAATAAGTCCATCAACAAACCGAAAGAAGTCCATGAAGTCTTCTTAAATTAAAATGGTTTGTATGTATGAATGGATAGAATTTTACTTTTTCTAGACCAATCATTGTTATATGACCAATAATCAAAATTTCGCTACTTCTTAGCCCACAGATTTTCTGTCTGTGATTCCTAATTCAGATTTTGAACTTGAACTACAATATAGAGCATAAGATATCCATCCAATGCTAAAGCATCTGATGTGGCTAATTGTTCTGCCTTCAGAGTCAGATAAATTTTAAGGATAACACGTACAGGATTACTGGCATGAGTTACATTTAGTTTCACATGGAGTTCAGTTTTGATGTTTGTTCAGAAAGTTCCAGATCAGTCTGAAGAAGCAAATGAGAGATATTTCCTCTTTGTCACTTACTTCCCCCACAGCACATTTCCTGCTCAGAGCAGACCATGGCTGAAATCTCCTAGGTGCAGACGGTAACACCCTACCTTGTCTTTGAGAGCCACAGCTTTAAACCATCTGCCCATGCATCCAGACTCAAGTAAGATCTTGTTGAGATGCTCCAAGAGGCAATTATCCTTTAGGAGTAAAAATGGTCATCAGATTGTTTTTAAAACCTTCTCTAGTATTCTTATATAGATTTTTAATATTTAAGCTTTGAAGTTTCACTTCTGTAGCAAAGAGAAAGAAAAAGTCAGTGACCATGAACAATTTCTCCTCAAGATTAATATCAACACTGAAAATTAATATTCTTTCAGTCATCACTTGTACCAGTAAACCATATGTAAATTTTGGAAAATACCATTTTTCATTACAAGATTGCTTTCTTCCTGTACTTGGAACATAGGAATTGTTAACTTACATTCAGATTCTGCAGCTTCGACTGTTATTCGAGAATAGAGACCATGAGATATTTTTTAAATGGTGTACATAATCAAAATACTATTAAAAAAGCCTCCAGGTTTTTGCATAAATCTAAATAATAAGTGGTTGACTCATTCCATGAGGCCTGAAAATTATTTCACTCTGGATCTTTATGCATAAGCCAAGCTTAGTTCTCTTTTCATCAGACCAATCTTTTGCTCTTCCTGCTTCATGCACTGGAATTCCACAGATAAACCACACAGCCAGCACACTGCACAGGCCACATGTACAACTGAGTCTCTCTTTGCATGGTTCATTTCAAGATGCCTGTGCTTGCCAATGGACACCACTGTCAAAAATTGGGATCTGATGTAATAATCTCCACTTTTTCTTTGGAGATATGTGTGTGGGATTCTGTCAATACACTGCTTCTTAATTCATAGATAAAATGGCACTCCTTACTTAGCTCTTATCATTGTCCCTGCCTTAAGTAATTTACTGTGAGTGAATTTTGTTGGTTAAGAGTCTGTACTGAGTCATACTGTGCAAAAAAATATTTTATAACGGTAAATGTCAAAAGGTGATGGAAAATCAGAACTAATGTTACTTAATCACTTAATTTTCATCTTTTGAAAGGGACATAACCCTGAGTAACATATATTGGAATGTCCCAAAAAAGAATGAGGTTAAGGCACCCATGCAGATTAATAAGATTTTTATGTGAAGAAATCAACAATTGCTATTTGAATTTTGAAACTAAATACAGTCATATTAAGCCACAAAAATGCCTGAGGTGTGATTTAAATGTTGGTTTTGTATAGGAATAGCCAATCCACCCACACTTCAGCTTTCCAGGACAAAGTGTCATTGGGGATGAGGAAGAGAACTCTCTTAAAAATAACTGCAGTAGGGAAGGGGAGTCTTACAACCTTTCTGTTATTTGGGTGCGCTCGGCAGAGTCCGTTCCATACCACTGAGATATGAAATACTGTGCAGGAAGAGCAAAGAGCAGCATGGAAATCTGCAGAGCTGCAGCTGCATTGATGTGAGGCATTCCAACAGGAAGTTTTGTCAAAGATACTTCACTGCTCCCTACTCTGAAAAGAGGAAGAGAAAAATTTTAAAAAGAGATAAAATAAGTAGCTGCGAGCTTTGCTAGATGTGTTGAACTTAAAAGTTTCCTTCAGGTTGCTTTGCTGGTTCACAACATTATGTGCAATCTGTACTCAGGCATTTTGGCTACAGCTGGAGCACACTTAATTTAGGCCACTTTAACTCCATTAAATTTCATGGTACTTACAGAAGCTAATAGAAGACTAAAGTACACAAGACAGCAAAAACCTGCTTTTAAGATTTATACAGGCATCTCTTTTGTCTGTAAACAGAGGGAGGGAAAAAAGAAAAGAGGAACTGGGAATTTGTATGGTTGTCCAATTTGCAGTAAAAAGCTGCTGTCCGTGAACCAAATTATTTGTGCTGCTTTGTCATCTGATGGAGTGCATTAAACATGTCTGGCATACCAGATTGATGGCCTCAAAAATAATCTGTTTGCATTCAGTGATAATTGCACATCTGACAGAACTAAGGGGTTTTTCTTTCAGGCTGAAGGCACTTAGAGCACTGTACCAGGTTGATAATGTGCCACAGTCCCACCACTGGATTAGAAAAGGATTTTTCATCACCTCTCGTTCCCACAGGCATCTGAAACACCATACCAGTGCATATTCATGGCTCTTCCCTCCTTCCCCAAACCATCAAGATATTCACCTTCACTTGAGGACTGTCTTTACATCTGTGAGGCTTTTTCAAATCAGAACTAAGACATGCGGAAATTTGAGACTTGGGTCTTTTACGCAGGTGTTGTCAGAGTACCCGGTTTACTGCAGCATTCACCCGCTCTCTGTTCTCCAGGAGCAGCTGGTGCAGCTCGTGCTCTCTCCTGGAGTGGAATACTCAGCCCACAAGCAAAAGCAATTCACTACAGTTGTGTCTGAGTTGCTTCTAGATCCTACTGTCCTAATTTATATAATATGCAAAATAATTTGGGTTACTGTAATATACACAGCACATATGCACATGGGAAGGTAGATTCATGAAAACTGCCCAACAAAAGCAGTCAAGATCACAAAGAGGAGGTTCAAAGAATATTGTAAGGAATATGGAAACGTCTTAGTGTGTGATGAAGCCTTACTACAAACTGTATTTTTAACTTCTGCATCATCTGCTTTGGAGCCACCAGTAAAGAGAAAAACATTTCCTAATCACCTTTTAGACGTTATCAGTAGCTGTAGAGTATTTGTTTAGCCTTGCGTGTTGTGGGGGGAGGAAGAGTCACAGTTCAGCCAAATAGCCATGAGCACCCTGGGGGACTGGACAGGAGCCGGGGGTCGCCGCCGCGCTGCCCCCTGCACTTACACAGTAGGGCAGTACAACTTCTGCCGCCGCGCATCTTCCTCCTGTCTCTGAAATCGGCATTTTGAGCAGCCGCATTCCCCAGACAGAAAGGATGCGGTGGCACACAGCGAGTTAGCCCGAATCAAAACATTTTTGTGCATATTTGGAAGCACCCGAACGCCCGCAAGAAGCGCGCTGTGCCTGCAGCCCCCGAGCGGGGACCGAGCCGCAGCAGCCCCGAGACGGCAGCGCCCGGAGGGAGCCGCAGCTCCTCTGCTCCTGTCCCAGCTCCCGGGGTGAGCCCCCCCTGCTCCTGTCCCGGCTCCCGGTGAGTTCCCCTGCTCCTGCCCCGGCTCCCGGTGAGCCCTCATGCTCCTTCCCCGACTCCCGGTGAGCCCCCCTGCTCCTGTCCCGGCTCCCGGGGTGACCCCCCCCTGCTCCTTTCCCCCTCTCCCGGTGAGCCCCCCCTGCTCCTGTCCCGGCTCCCGGTGAGCGCCGCTCCCGGCCCCTCACCCGGCACGGCTCGGCCCGGCCCGGCTGCGCGCCCACGGGCGGCAGGTGGGGCCGAGCAACAACGCCCTAAAGGAGCCCGGAGAGGCGAGCGCCGAGCCTGAACCGGGGCCGGGCTCTCAGCCGGGTTGGGAGGTTGCCCCCTGCTCTCGGCTTTCCCTCGCACAAAAAGCTTTCAGGGCAGAAGGATTTCTTAATCTCAAAACGCAACAAACACCCCCGTGGACTTTACACCCCAACAGTTTTAAAGAGATTAAAATAAAGAAATAAAAAGTTCTAAGTTATTTCTTCAGACTAACTTAAAGAAAGTAACATTTTCAACTTCCTTACCTAGGTATTTTTTTCTGTGAATGTGGATGAACAAGTGGCTTGAACCGGTATGAACAGAAGTCCGGTGGTAGTTGTCTCATGTGATGTTTATGCAAAATATGTTGTAACCCTGTAACCCAGCCTCATGCCGTGCCTCTCTCTACGCTGTTGGTACTTCAGAGAGCTCCTGGTGCGGCCCCTGGCCCGGCATTGTCACGGCTGGATGCCGGCACAGCTGAAGCAGGAGCGTCCTCGGTGGTTTCCGTAGCACACGTGTCAGCAACAGAAACTCCGGGGCTGCCTCTGCTGGGCTGCTGCAGCGGGGTCAGACCCGGCCAGGAGCCCCATCTGTGTCACGGATTGCTGTGCTGTAAATTCAACTGCAACCAGATTCACTGATGGCACCCAAATCAGAGTGGGAGCTCCAAATCAGTTTGGAGCTGATGGCACCAAAACAGAGGAGGCAGACTCAAACTGCAACTGTTCCAGAGAGATCAGAGCAATGGGAACATTATAGACAAGAAGAGAAATTCATCAGTGGCAAACGTTGAGCCTTACCAAGAGAAAGGAAATGCTCTAGCCATCACTTTCTCACAAGAGAAAGGAAATGCTCTAGCCATCACTTCTCACTGAGCACAGCTCTCCAAAGGGCAAGACTCTGAAAAAAACCAAAAATGTTACCAAGCCATACCTTGTGAACATGTGGGAGCTAAGGGCCCAGGCCTAGGATGAAATTTTGTTGATGGATTTAAACCTGTGCAACATGGCAGGAATTCCCAATTGAAAACTCACATGAATACTAGCCTACACTAGAAATACAAATTCTACCTAAGAAAAATAGTTTTTTAATCATAGAATCATAGATGGTTTGAGTTGGAAGGGACCTTTTCAAGGGCACCTAATCCACCCCTCCTGCAATAAGCAGAGACATCTTCAGCTAGATCACGTTGTTCAGAGCACCCTATTTGGCTCACAGAGCCCACCCCAAGGAGAACAGACTCATTTGGGACATCGTGGCTGTGTTTGCATCATCAGTCCCAGGCTGCAGTAAATTCTGGGACCTACCAGCTCCCTTGAGCAAAACCTCAGGGCCCATGCAAACACCTGATCCTACCTCAGGGCGGCTGAAGGTTTGAGTGTGACTCAAGCAACTTATTACTACCCAAACATTAAGACATCTTCTTAACACAAAGTAGATCAAATTGCAAGATGCTTCTTTTACAAAACAGCTTTCTGCCCATGTGCTTGAGCAGAGATCTTCAGTGCAAGAGCCAGAAAGAAACCAGCCCTGTGTGTTCTGTCATGACGCAGAGGTGGGCAAAGAGGCCAAAGCCAGAGGAAAATTACAACTTCGTAAATTAGCATGCAAGAAAAAAGAAACAATCTTGACCATAACACAATTTCAGATGATCTGCCCTTTCTTAAGACAATGCTTGTGTGAATTTTTTAGTAATTTTTCCTAAACAACCACTGATTTCCCTTGTAAACTTTATTGATCAGAAGAGTTTAACATTGGCACACATTTTACAGCCTCAAACATTTTACAAGCATCAAACAGCATAAATGTTTTGAGTTCCAGATATTTAATCTTTCCCCATGTACTTGTGCATGCAGACTAATTGCTGTCAATGAAGGACAACAACAGTACAGACTGCACATCTACCCAGCTCCTCATGTTGAGATTTCAGCTGGGTAAAAATAGGCAGTGTATTAAGAGGCAATCATTAATTAAGGACTTCTAAGTAGCTCTTTTTTAAAATTTTTGACAGCTGTATTCCAATTCTTAGCAGTTCATGGAAGTTTACTCCATCTTCTTTAAGAGTTAAGAGAATTCAAGTTTTGAATAAGGTGCTCAAATTACAGAAGAATAACCCTACTAGATTTCTCTGCTACAGAATACAAATACAGTAATTCTTTCTAATATTTTAATCAGATTCTAACCAGGTTTGCATTTTAAGTTCTGTCTTTATTGTTTTGAATATCTTTATTCAAAGTCAGATTCCAAGATCTGAGACAAAACACAAATTAACAGCTGAGGTTGCGTGGCTCTTGAATCTCTTGAATGCGAACATTGTTTGAAGGCAGTACCTCCAGGAATAGGCTTCTGCAGAAATTTGATGCTGAATGAGTTGGTTACCTGCCTCTTGCTTCCTCCTTCTTGGGGTTTTTTTTGGGGGAGTTGGTTTTTTGTTTGTTTGTTTGTTTGTTTTTGTTATTTATGTATCTAGCTAAAGTAAAATGAGAGGCCAACAGACCAAGTTTAGGTAAAATCTTTCCATTTCAGAGACAAGAAAAGGAAGCATGAAGGAAGTTTGTATGGCTGTTACCAGAGTAGGAACATCATTCCCAAATTCTCTACCCTGTCATCCCTTCAGCACTCACACAGATTTCAAAGTATAAGAGAAGATTCATAAATTCTCACTACAGCCCTTTCAAAAAGTAAATTAAGCCTCTTGCAAAGATTTCTTAGCACAATATTTCTCTGAGCTAGAAAAACAACCAGACGTTTTGGGCTTTGAGTTCACTGTTAACAGTAGTAAAAGCCACAAAAATTATATTTTGCATCATAATTTGTTGTACAGTAATTCAACTTTATGCTATTTAAATTCCAGTCACATTGTCCATTGCTTGCTGGCACTTGCTTTATTTTCACATTTGCTTCAACTAGCAACATTGATTAATTTTTAAATGCATTACACTTTGCTCATTTATCTTTGGAAAAAGTGACAACCATTTTTTGCAAAGCTCATATTGATGGCTAGAGCAGTGAACACCAGCTTTGGCACAAAAACTTTTCACTTTGAAAGCAAAATGGTCAACTTGAACGACCAGACAATTTCCTTCATTTAATGAGCATTAATGGCCTGTCCTGGTTAGAGGGGTGGAGTCAGCCGTGTGGGCGTGGCCAAGTTGTTTTTCTGTATCACACACGGCACTCACCGGGACCTGGGCTCAGCAGGAAAAGCCAGGCACCCTTACTGGAAGTTGGCCACTTTTGCCTCTCCTGCTTCAGCAGGAGGGTGACAGCAAAGGACCTGGGGACTCCATCCTGGGATGCTTTTCTGGGACATGGCTGTGGCATGGCTCCCCTGCAGGGCCCTGCAGGGACAGTGATCAGGGACAGCATGAAGCCAGCATCCCAGTGGGACCCTCCTCTCCTGCCCTGGTGTACAGGAGCATTGGAAGCAACAGCAAATGCACAGAACTGAGCCTGGCAGAGCAACCCCTACTCAGATGACTCAGCTTCCAGGGAGGGTTGTCTATCACTGTTTTCCATTATTTTGGGCTGGGAAATGTTAGCCATGGGAGCAACCCCACCACACTGCCTTTTTTTCCTGACTATCATGTGGGCAGCATGCAGGAATGATCATCCTATTGCCTTGGTCTGGAAAAACCACATGGACACAACCACAGGGAATGTTCACCACCACCTTTGTTCTTGTTATTCCTGGTGGTGAATACCTTTCTGTGGGTATAAAACATCTTCTCTTTTTGTATTGTACTGTGGGTGTCTTATTCCATCATTTCCTGTTTCAGTAAGTTGTTATCTCTCCCCATAGTCCCTCCCTTACTGGAAGGGGCAGGGGCTGGGGTGTGGCTTGTTTGGAGTTTAATTTCCCACTGATGTTAAAATCAGCACATGCTCCAACAACATTGTCAGGTACCAACATCTCACAACATCTGTTAATACTAAGCAAAGTCTTGATTTCTACACAAAATGAAAGAACTACAGTAGGTTTCCAAAATATACCTGTCACAGAAATGGCAACAGGGATACAATTGTATTTTAAGGATTCTGTACAGTTACACAGAAAAATATTTTTAGATATTTTCAAAACAAAGGAAATGTTATTAAGTGCTTAAGACTATTCTCAGTAACCAAACTAAAACCCTAGATCTGGAGTGGCTGATGCTTGGATGAGCACACCACTGTTACTGTTTTGCTGTAATACTGGAAATGTACATTCCACAGAACTACCAGCTCCAGGACATAACAGCAGCACCAAAGTGTGTCATATTTTCAGTATTAAATTATTTTTTCCAAGCAGAATGCGCCAGTGAGCAAAACTCACATGCTCGGGACAGAGATTTTTCCTCAGTTGTTAAAACAAGTCTTGCTTTTGCCAGACTTCACATGGAGTCTGGAAAGTCACAGGGAACTCAATTCATTCCACATTCCTGTCCCCCAGAGGCACACATACCTGCATCTGAGTGAGGCTCTCTTCCATCACTTCCTTGGGTTTTCAGGTAAGGAACGTAAGGAAAAGATCATCTGATAAAGCAAATAACGTGAAATTAAACAGAATCCACAATTCTTTTTTCTTTCATCTATTGAACAGAAAAATGTAGATATAAACAAACTAACCCTGCAGTTTAGTGAAAACACATCCTATGTTGACTTTTCCTTGCATTGCCCACTCAGGGCAGCTAGGCTGCAGACCAGTAATCTGCAGGAGGGAGGCAGGGGATCCTCTCTGCTTAAGTGTTTCTAGTGTCTTCTAGAGCTGTTGGGAGCAGGCATTTCCATGGATGGGACATAGCTCTGGTACAAACAGTTGTCACCTGAACAGGGAAGGCTTCCTGGAGGGTTAGAGGCAGTGCCCTGGTGCACACATGGAAGTGAGCTAAGAGGACTCAATGAGGTGTCTCCAGTGACAGATGCTACTGCTTTATATTGCCTCTTGAACTGCAGGGTCTAGTGAAAACCCTTACCAAACAGCAAATTCTGATCTCTCTTCAGAGTCAGAGAGTGCTCCAGTTCCAGTTCTGTCTGTTCCCACTTACCAACTCACTATACCATCCTACCAGATACAGCTATTCCATATTCCACAGGGAATCAAGAGGAGCTGAATTTAAGGAGTTCTGAAAAACACACAACCAATCATCCCACAGCACAGTAAATTACCAGATAGAAGCAAACACTGTTGGACAGCTTAGAAAAACATGTTTTCTATTTATTTAAAAATAAGTTTGTAGTTACTACATTGCAGTGACAGTAATTCTTACACATACATTCTAGTTTGTATAAAAGGATTCAAAGTATTATGCATCAAAACTAACATAGAAAGTGTCCACATAACAGTAAAGAAATTTCCAATCCATATGTACAAAAAGAAAGGGCACTGTTATCCTGGTGAGAT